CTACATCAACATGTGTCCCCTCTTCTTCATGTCTCTTCTACATCAACATGTGTCCCCCTCTTCTATCACAGTGTCCCCTCTCTTCATGCTCTCTTCTACATCAACATGTGTCCCCTCTTCTCCATGTCTCTTCTACATCAACATGTGTCCCCTCTTCTTCATGTCTCTTCTACATCAACATGTGTCCCCCTCTTCTTCCATGTCTCTTCTACATCAACATGTGTCCCCTCTTCTTCATGTCTCTTCTTACATCAACATGTGTCCCCTCTTCTTCATGTCTCTTCTACATCAACATGTGTCCCCTCTTCTTCATGTCTCTTCTACATCAACATGTGTCCCCTCTTCTCCATGTCTCTTCTACATCAACATGTGTCCCCTCTTCTTCATGTCTCTTCTTCATCAACATGTGTCCCCTCTTCTTCATGTCTCTTCTACATCAACATGTGTCCCCTCTTCTTCATGTCTCTTCTACATCAACATGTGTCCCCTCTTCTCCATGTCTCTTCTACATCAACATGTGTCCCCTCTTCTTCATGTCTCTTCTACATCAACATGTGTCCCCTCTTCTTCATGTCTCTTCTACATCAGCATGTGTCCCCTCTTCTTCATGTCTCTTCTACATCAACATGTGTCCCCTCTGTGGAAAAAGACTCTGAAAGTTTCAGGAACAAAGATTCTCTCTCTTTTTGATCCATTTCTATAAAAACCTGTCTGAAAATGAGCTGATCAGATTTTGGCCACTTTATGATGTCATAACGATGTGTTGTCTTGTGTAACCATTAGCCAATCACCAACCAAGGTAACCCCCCCCCCCCCCCTTATCACCTGCATCTCCTCCTAGAGCACCATTGAGTTCTTTGTAACCAAATCTCTCTCAGAGGGGCGTGGGGAGGGGCTCCTTATTTTCATCTAAAGTAACAGACAGAGAATCAGCAGTTTGGAAACAGGGCTGAAACAGAGGGGATTATGGGTAATGCTGCAATGATCAGTTTGGTGTTTCAGCCAATCAGAGACAGGTTCTGTATATATCTGAGAGCTATAATATATTTTAACAAATGTTTTCTTTGCTGCTTTTAACACCCCAAGCCATCTAGTTTCATAACATTGGAGAAGGCAGTCAGTCTATGGCCCACATCTCTGACATTAGGGAACTCACACAACGTTCACTGCTCTCTCTATCCATCTCCTGCCTCTCTTCTGCTCTACTATGCATTAAAGGCAACACAAACACACAAATAATCGCATCTAATAATCTATCCTTGTCAAAGTCATGCCTGCTTTGTGACTGTCCCTTGTTTTCATGGATGTATCTTAGTAGTTAAACGTCTCTAAAGGACTACGTTTTGATTGGTCGACTAGCTGTCAAAGGATATCACTGATCATCATGGGCGGTGATTTAGAGCTCAGGCTGATAATTAAAAGAAAAAGTGGAATGCAAAAGCACTTTTTATAAATGAAAGGCTTATTTGCATATTACAATTACGTCAAATTATTTCCCTTGTTAACTTTTTTGCAAGAGAGGCAAAGAATGATTGTCTAAAGTTCATCCTCACATGGTTCAGTATAACGGAGTGTTTGGTGTAGTTATCGGCTGCTCAGCGTCTTCATCAGCAATATTCAGACAGCAATGAATAATGTGTCCTGTCTGAAAGGCTCTCAGATACTGCTCCACTTCTGGCACTCTTACAGTTTAATCCCACTTTATTTTTACCGCTCTCGGTTTCTTATGTAACAGCCGACGAATGCGTGTGTTCACAGTTTTGTGGTCGTCTCATTATCTTGTGAGAATTGCCCCGCAGTGCTCTAAACTCCAGTCATAATTAGAGATGTCCCGAAATAAGAGTTCTGCCCTGAATTCAGAAGAAGAACACCAAGAATAAATAAATAAGTGTCTTTTTAGCACACATTCACGTCTTTTTTTGCAGCGTTGGAGGAAGTACTGACATTTAGAAATAAAATAGCAATACAACAATGTGTATATGCTTAAAGGGGACCTATCGTGCAAAATCCACTTTGTGATGTATTTTCTACATAAAGATGTGTCCCCGGTGCGTCAGGGAACTCACGCAGCGTCAGAGAATAAAACCCTCTCTCTTCTCCTCCGTACCCAAATCTCTAAAAACGGGGAACAACGGAGCTGATCCAGATTTGCGTCCGATATGACGTAATATCTGAAATGTGGACCCACGGCCCAATCAGAAACGTTGCTATCAGAAACAATGCCCGACTGTTTTGGACGTAATATGGTCGGTGTTTACATTAGCATCGCTAACACTCAGAGCTAACCTGTACTGGAGAGCATGTGTGTGAAGAAGCAGGAAGTAAAAAGGAACTCACCTTGTGGTATAACCGGCAAGAGAGAAAGCCTTTGAGCTCCAAACTGTTTCAGAGAGAATCCTTGATAATCCATGATATGGCGTTTCATCACGGCAGCATTTAGTTTAGACAGTAGCTGCCGGGTCCCGCATGAGCTCAGACCCCTCCTCTTTTATTTATCAATCTTTTTAAAAAAAAAAAGCTTTATACCCCAAATCAGCACTTTTGAAACAGGAAGGGAAATAGAGGGATATGAGGTATGTTTATTATAATATCCAAATGCTAATCAGTGCTTGTATGCATCTATTATTGTTATGACCTGGCATCACAATTATAATCAGTTGTCTTTATATATAATCGATCCAGCTGTTTTACTGTACATCATATCTATGCTTTATTGATGTGTTCTGCAGGAGATGGAGGCAGAGTCCAGGTTCTCCGAGGCAGAGTATCACTTCATGGCGGCTGAAGAGTGGAAAGCTGCTGTCCACATGTACCGAGTCAACGATATGTGGGAGGAAGCTTACAGGGTACGGATACACTCACAGCTGTTATGTTATCTTTCTAGCTGTACATCCCTTTACCTTTCCAGAGCTATGTGTGTTCCAGTTACTCCTGTCATTTTTTAATACAGGTAAATAAAACAATATACTCAAAGTGAGGTAGGATGAACTACAGTATATCACATAAAATGCATAATCATTTTAATTGAGACTTTTTTTTTAACCTGGGCAAACGAAAACAATATTCCTTTTGATATTGCTGTAATAACTTTAATTTATATAGCGCCTTTCATAAATCCAGGGAGGCGTGCTACTTTGTGCTTCTACTCAAATACATTTGTAATGCCAATATTATACTATTTGTTTCACTGCATTTAACTGAGAGTTGTTGTTACTAGTTATGAGTTAAAATATAGAATGTTATTTCTAGGGATGCACGATAATTATCGGCCCGATAATTATCGGCCCGATAATAGGAATTATGACGTCATCCCGATAAACCCGATACCAGTATTAATAGCCCCGATAATATGCAATATATTTTTTGGGTAAAAAAAAAGAAAAAATACTGCGGTGTGGGTGGATTGGGATGAGGGGCGCTTGTTTTTCACTCGGCTCCTCCCGTTTTGCCAGTACTGTGGTATTAGTGGTTTAGGAAGAGGGGAGTTCTTCACAAATCCAGCGCTCCCTAACTCATGCCTGGCTGTGACGTAAATGGTGTGCGGTCCGTGAAGCCAGGACAGTAAACAAACATGTCGTCGTGGTATGGGCGTTGGAGCTATGTGCAACTCAAGGCATATGCTCGAACGGGAGCTGCCTGGACGCTGCAATCATGTTGCGCACTATCCGTGCTGAGTGTGCTGACTTTTCGTACAATGTCCCACTGTCTGGCTTCCTGCATAAAGTCAAGTGCTCGGCGCAGTTGTGGCGAAATGTCGCTCCTCTGTTTTCATTTAAACAGCTCCTTATATCCGTTAGCGCAGCTAGCTAGCACCAGATGCTAACAACAACAATGCACGTAAGGTCTCTCTCTCGCTCGCTCGGGCCACACATACACACACCCTCCCGGTCCTCCCAACAGCCAGTCGGTGCCTGCCGGTGAGCGTGGAAGTGTGGTCTGCTGCAAGCTGTCAGCATCAGCTTGTAGATGGTATTTTAAACTCGATGCGCTCTGAAACTACGGGGCGGCCGAGGGAAAAAAAATACACATGCGTTAATCGCGTTAAAATAATTAGTGGCGTACATTTTTTTTTATTATTGGTCTTGAGAAGCAGGAAGTTATCGGTATCGGTATGGGTTTCAAAAAACCAATATCGTGCATCCCTAGTTATTTCCCCTGCCAAATTAGGAGTCTAAATTATATTTAGCTTATTTTTATGAAGATGTATTCCTGTGTGGCGTTGTTAACACTTACATTTAAGTCACCCTGTCTAGCACAGTGTAATAAGGGCTTTATAACAACACTATAATTGAACGTATTGACATAATTAAATTAGTCTGGCCACCCATGTGCTGTATAAACAATCAATGAATGATAACAAAGTAAAATGCCTTTTAAAAATGTGCATTGTTGACAAAAACTGTGTATTATTGACCGTTTAAAATATTCGGTACCACTTTACAATAAGACTACCCTTATAAAGGATTTACGAATATTTTGTAATTCATTTATTAATTAGGTTGTGAACACTTTATAAATCATTAATAAGCTTTTATAAGACATGAGGATAAACAGGGCAACTGTGACCGGTTGCTTGCCAAATAGTGAGCCCACATGTATCTGTACTGCTAAGCCTTATATTGGCTACCTAGCTTACTTCGTCTCCTTCATCAGCCAGCATCCTTGGTATCTGTTGCTCACTGAGTTGATTCTCGCTAAGTAGCCAATATAAGGCTTAGTCGTCTTGTCAAATAGTGCGTGCGTGCGTGTAAATAAACAAGTGTCTTTTTGCACACATTCACGTCTTATTTTGCAACCTGATACAGTAGTGGAAGAAGTTTGTACATATTTTGACATAAATACAAATACCACTGCTGAAAGTCAAAGTCCTGTACTCAAATGTTACTCAAGTATGAGCATCTAAATATACTTCAAAGTAAAAGTACTCATTATGCAAAAAAAGCTCATTTCAGAATAATGTATATTATTAAAACATAATTACTGATTCATTAATGTAACATTGTTTATGTTTATATACATCATATATATAAATGTGAGCCTGTGTTGATGTATGCAAACTATGTTAGAACTGGTTTATAAATGGTTCTTACTGATTAATAAAGTGTTTACAACCTAATTCATAACCTAATTATGAACCCTTTATGAATCCTTTGTAAGGGTAGTCTTATTGTAAAGTGGCACCGACTCTTCTTATAGCTGCACATGACTACAATGTGTTTTATAAACCATTTAATAAGGGCTAATTTGATGCTCATAAATGCAAAAAAGGAGTACTTAAAGTGAAATGAAATGAGGCTTTATGAACACAGCTTTATTAGGTGTGTTTCCCTGTGGATTCTGTTTACTGCTTGGGAGCACAGTGGAACTTTATAGCTTCTATAAAATGAGTTTTGTCTCTGGGTTTATCTGTGGTGAGAGGGTTAGGGAGTCACACTGCGGCAGGACTCCTATCGTGATATATAGACATTTATTTATTAGGATAAACCCCTTGAGATGCACCATCTTGTTTTCAAGGGGGTCCCGACAAAAGCAACGTCTTACAGACACACATGAACAAAATAACAGAAAGCAAAGCATGACAAACAAGGACAAACCACGACAAACTATCATGCAAAATGCTCTTTGTGATGTCTTTTCTACATAACTATGTGTCCCCGGTGTGTCGGGGAACTCACGCAGCGTCAGAAAATAAAACCCTCTCTCTTTTCCTCCGTACCCAAATCTCTAAAAACGGGGAACAACGGAGCTGATCCAGATTTGCGTCCGATATGACGTAATATCTGAAATGTGGATCCACGGCCCAATCAGAAACGTTGCTATCAGAAACAATGCCCGACTGTTTTGGACGTAATATGGTGCATGTTTACATTAATTCAATTCAAGTTTATTTATATAGCCCAAAATCACAAATCCTATTTGTCTCAGAGGACTTCACAAGTCAACAAACACAATTGGCAATGTAAAACAATGTAAAAACAACAAACGTATCTTATAAGATCAATGTGAAAATACCAATTTAAAAAGAAACATGACACAAATACAGTTAGAGTACAATAAATACAATTCCATAAAACGAAGGGTCCATGAGGATGTATAAAAGGGGGTTTAAAACCAGTCTTAACTGTACAATGTACTAAAAAGGAAAGTCTTTAACCTACTCTTAAATGTGTGGACACTGTCTGCCTCCCTAATCGTCACTCGAAGTTGATTCCAGAGGAACGGGGCTTGGTAGCCGAAAGCTCTAACACCTGACCTTTTCTTGTGGACTCTGGGAACCACCAACAGACCTGCACACTGGGATCTTAATGCTCTAGAGGGGCAATAGGAGATTAAAAGATCCTGTAGTTCAACATCCTGACCATTTAGTGCTTTGTATGTGAGTAAAAGTATTTTAAAATCAATCCTGGACTTAACTGGTAGCCAGTGCAATGCTGCTAAAACAGGAGTGATGTGGTCCATCTTCTTTGTTCCTGTTAAAACCCGTGCTGCAGCATTTTGTATGAATTGAAGGGCTCTTTAATGATGAGTTTGGACAGCCTGATAAAAGAGAATTGCAATAATCCAGCCTGGAGGTGATAAAAGCATGGATTAGTGTTTCTGCATTGTTGTGATTTAGGATGTGCCTGATTTTTGCAATATTCCGTAGATGGAAGTAGGCAGTCCTTGAAATTTGCTTTATATGGGATTTAAAAGACAAATCCTCGTCAAAAAATAACACCAAGATTTTTTACCGTGGTGCTGGAGGTCATGGTAATACAATTCGAAGAAATTATGTTGTTGGATAGTTCGTTCCGAAGGTGCTGGGGGCCTAGTATAATGACTTCTGTTTTGTCGGAGTTTAATAATAGAAAGTTGCTGGTCATCCATGTCTTTATGTCTGTGAGGCATTCTTGCAGTTTAACTAATGGAAATTGTACATCTGGTTTAATTGATTGAAAATTGATGGCGGTATTCCTTATGATATTGCCCAATGGTAGCATATATATGATGAATAGGATGGGTCCAAGTACAGACCCCTGCGGTACTCCATGACTGAATGTAGTTTGTAATGAAGATTCATCGTTGACAGATACAAACTGAGACAGTTTTGATAGATAAGACCTGAACCAGCTTAGTGCAGTTCCCCTTATACCTATCAAAAACTCTAATCTTTGGAGTAGTATGTTAATTATGGTCAATAGTGTCAAAGGCAGCACTCAGATCAAACAGAACCAGGAAAGAGGCAAGTCCATTATCAGATGCACAAAGCAGGTCATTTGTGACTTTAACCAGTGCTGTCTCTGTGCTATGATGTTTTCTTCAACCTGACTGGAATTTCTCAAATAAACAATTTGTATTTAAAAATGCACACAATTGTGAGGCCACTGCTTTCTCGAGGATTTTTGTGAGGAAGGGAATGTTTGATAATGGCCTAGTTGGCCATAACCTCAGGATCAAGGCTTGTTTTTTTATAATAGGTTTAATTACAGCTACTTTAAATGACTGTGGAACATAGCCTGACAGTAAAGATATATTCATCATATTTAATACAGGTGTATTAATTAGGGGTGCAATTTCCTTGAACAGCTTAGATGGAACAGGCTCTAAGATACAGGTAGATGCTTTAGAGCAGGGGTGACCAACCAGTCAGAGGTTAAGAGCCACATTTTGTGTATGTTGCTGCAAAGAGCCACATCAAACACAGAGTCACTGATACCGCTTGTTTCAGTTTTTTGTTTTCTGGAGACAAGATTTCAACCACGTCACTGAGGCATTTTTTAACAAACTCCCCTTCATTATACGGCTTGTTAGCTCGTGCTATGTTCCAAGCAACTTGATAAGATGTAAGCGTTACGGTCTCCGAGTGCTTCGTTATTTTTTTGAAAAACTGTGTCTGCTTTTCTGCCTGACTATTCAAGGTGTTTATCTTCTGCTTGCGAAGTTCCGTACCTTTTGGGAAGTCCTGGTCGATGTTAGCATGGAGTGAGGTGAAATGGCGCTGAAGATTTGAAGCCTTGAAATGGGTTGATGCTGTCTGGCATATAAGGCAAAATGGCTTGCAATTGCGTTCGATAAAAAAATATAAACTCTCACACTCTACTAAAAACGTCCTATGTTCGTCTTCATATTTTCGCTTAGCTGTGCATTTCTTCCCTGCCATTTTAGGATCAAACTCAGTTCATGGTCAGATAGTGTTTAATCAACGATAGGTTTCCCCCCCCCCCCCCCCTCAAAGGTGATTGGTTCACTGCATCGCAGGTATTATTGTGATTGGCTCTTGGGCCACATCAAAATTAGATGCGCTGTCATCCTCTCATACTGACACCTGACACCACACATACACATGTAGGGAGAGCCGGAACGAAAGTAACACGGGACGAAAGTAACACGGGACGAAAGTAACACGGGACGAAAGTAACACGGGACGAAAGTAACACGGGACGAAAGTAACGGAGCGATTTTATCCGAGCCCAAACAACTTTGACCGGCCAAATTACGTCAGAATTATCAACATTCAATACTTAACAGACCTACTAAATATCAGGTTTAACTGTCAGGAGTCCATGTCTCGCCCCCAAACTCACACATATAAAATTCGATATGAACTGAAGAGCCGCATGAAACTAGGCGAAGAGCCACATGCGGCTCGAGAGCCGCGGGTTGGCCACCCCTGCTTTAGAGAATGAAATAATTGAATTTAGTTGGTTTTGGTCTATAGGAGAGAAGCACTCTAAGTATATGTCCGGTGTTAAGGGTGATTCAGTGCTGGCTAAGGGTAGGTGGTGGTTTATTTTGTCCCTGAGAGTTATAATTGTATCATTAAAGAAGTTCATAAAGTCATTACTACTGATTTGTATGTGAGTAAACGTTTTTTTTTACTTTAGCATTTTTTTACTTTAGCATTAGCATCGCTAACACTCAGAGCTAACCTGTACTGGAGAGCATGTGTGTGAAGAAGCAGGAAGTAAAAAGGAACTCACCTTGTGGTATAACCGGCAAGAGAGAAAGCCTTTGAGCTCCAGACTGTTTCAGAGAGAATCCTTGATAATCCATGATATGGCGTTTCATCACGGCAGCATTTAGTTTAGACAGTAGCTGCCGGGTCCCGCATGAGCTCAGACCCCTCCTCTTTTTATTAATCAAATTTTTTTTTTTTTAAAGCTTTATACACAATTCAGCACTTTTGAAACAGGAAGTGAAATAGAGGGATATGAGGCATGGCTAGAATGGGTGATCTGTTTGGTATTTTGACGAAACACTTCATAGACATGTTTTTTTAATATTTTTATATATCTGAGACCCATGATATTGCCTAAAAATAGCATGACAGGTGACCTTTAAGTAAAATTCATGAAGTAATACATAATAATAATAATAATATAAAAATAATAAATGTATTTTGTAAGCGCTTTTTCCGGTGCTCAAAGTCGCTTTACAGAGTTAGTTAAAAATGACAACAAATAAATATAGTATTAGTCACATTAAAATCGAGCAATAAAACAACATTAAAAGCCAGTTTGAAGAGGTGAGTTTTTGTACGTTTTTTGAAGGTGGTGAGGTCAGATATACAATCATTACAATTTGATATATGTAAGAGAATATTTTAATCTGATCTGTTTATAGAATCTCTTATTATTCCTTAGAGTCTGTGATACTGCAAACATCTGCTTGTAGTCACTCAAAGACTCCTCTGTAGGTTGAGGTCACAGGTCAAACGCTTCTCCTATATCCATGGGGGGTTTGAGACCTGGCAGGATCTCTTTGAGACAAGCAGACCATTGTCTCGCATCGGCTATTGATTATACGCGGGCTTTCTGGAAGCCCGCCTCTCCTCGTGTTGGTTAGATGTTTTGTGTCTTTTGGTTCAGAGATCGCTGGTGGAGCACTGGACATGTGTGAAACTAAGATGATCTCCCGGCCGTTATTGTCTGTACTTTCTCCAATAAAACTCTTCAGTGCTTTTGGCTAACAACGGTTCCAGACTCCTTCATTCTACCTCAACATTGCAACAACAGAAGTTTACCTTCACAATATATATATTTACAGATGTATTTTCTCATGTGTGTGTCAGGTGGCAAAGAGCCACGGGGGTCCTGCAGCCCAGAAGCAGGTGGCCTACCTGTGGGCCCGCAGCCTCGGGGGGGAGGCGGCCGTCAAACTGCTCAACAAGTTCAACCTGCTGGAGTACGCCATCGAGTTCGCTGCCAATAACTTGTGAGCTGCAACACGTTCACACGACACACACTGTGATTTATCTTCATATACTCACATCCTGAATGTATGAATAGAATAGAATATATATTTATTGTCCTCATACAAAGTACAACAACATTTATTTAGCAACTCTCACTGCAGAAGAGTGAATGGAAGCCCATTACAGCCAAGTTGATATAAAGAAATATATATATCTTAAAATAATGCCTTAATCTTTCAAAAATAATAACTTTGTATTTCAAAATAATGGCTCAATATATCAAAATGATGACTTAACATGACACAATAGTGAGTAAGTATCGCAACATAAGGAGTAAGTTTTGCTACATAATGACTTACTAATGAACAATAATGACTTTTGAGGAAGCTTCTCATTATTTTGCATTACTAAGTCAACATTTTGAGATTCTAGGTCATTTTTTAAGTAACTTTTAATAGAAAATGTCTCATTATATTGACTTATAGGATCTTTTTTTGTAACATTATGTTTTTATAATCGACAAATCCCTAAACATATTTGTTAACAGCTGTGAATTTTCTGAGATTAAGACAGTACTGTATATCAAGAAGGCAATGCATCCGATATCTGAAGCTGAACATGTTCTTTTCACCTGCTGGCTTTAATAAGCCCAAAATCTGACTAGATATCTTGCTCTTTATTTACTCCCCAGCTCATTTGACTTTGCCTTTGATTTGGCTCGTGCTTCATGTAAAGAAAAGATTCCTGAGATCCACCTCAAACATGCTATATACCTGGAGGATGAGGTAAATCTGTCACGCCCTGCTGCACACAAACATGCTGTCGGTGAAGGGAGTAGTGCTGATTCTGACGTTCTGTAACCATTTCCTCTTCCAGGGCAAGTTTGCTGAGGCCGAGTTCGAGTTCATCAAAGCCGGAAAACCCAAAGAAGCCGTGTTCATGTGAGTGCATAAAACCCAGTGTTACACCAGGAGAATTTAGAATTAGGAGTACGTTTATATGTATATGTAGCTGAAGATCAGTAGTGTAATGGAACCAAGTAAATTATCCAAATGCTAGTGAGTATCGTGATCTGTTGTGATATCTTAAAGGACTACATGCCAGTGGAAGAACAAGCGCAATAGCACTTTTATTATGACAGCCATTAAGTAACTTTAAGATGCAACATTGTTTGTGTAATTTGTGTGAAAGTTATGTTTTGCTGCGTATGGTGAGTGGTGTTACCGGTGCAAAAGACACATTTCCATCTTATTTACATATAATTACTTTTATCTGTTTTATTGTGTTGCACTGTTGGTGGAGCCTGTGACCTACGATTTTCATTGGCATATCTACACTGTAGCTCTGTACAAATGACAATAAAAGCCTTGAATCTATAATAAACAATAATGGGATCTGAATATAAATCTGAAATTTAAATATGGTATTAAAATGCAACATGTATGTACTTTCCTTAGTACTTTTAGTTATTTTATGGTATTTTACACTCAATTTCACAGGGAAATATTGTCCCTTTTCATGTTCCATTCCTACACACCGCATTTTAACTTTAAAAACTAAAAATGTTGGCATGTGTTCTGCTGCAGGTATGTACACAACAAGGACTGGGCGAGTGCTCAGCGAGTGGCGGAGGGACACGATCCAGACAGCGTGTCGGAGGTTCTGGTCGGACAAGCCAAGTTCTGCTTTGAGCAGAAAGATTTCCAGAAGGCCGAAGCTTTCCTGCTCCGAGCTCAGAGACCAGAACTCGCTGTCAAATATTACAAGGTAACGGCCACAAAAAGCATAGCCTCTTTATTTAAAGAGTCCTCTCCTGCTGATGTTCAGGTGTATATCAGTATGTAGTGTCTCTACTTTAAAGAGTCCTCTCCTGCTGATGTTCAGGTGTATATCAGTATGTAGTGTCTCTACTTTAAAGAGTCCTCTCCTGCTGATGTTCCGGTGTATATCAGTATGTAGTGTCTCTACTTTAAAGAGTCCTCTCCTGATGATGTTCAGGTGTATATCAGTATGTAGTGTTTCTACTTTAAAGAGTCCTCTCCTGCTGATGTTCAGATGTATATCAGTATGTAGTGTCTCTACTTTAAAGAGTCCTCTCCTGCTGATGTTCAGGTTCATATCAGTATGTAGTGTCTCTACTTTAAAGAGTCCTCTCCTGCTGATGTTCAGGTGTATATCAGTGTGTAGTGTCTCTACTTTAAAGAGTCCTCTCCTGCTGATGTTCAGGTGTATATCAGTATGTAGTGTTTCTACTTTAAAGAGTCCTCTCCTGCTGATGTTCAGGTGTATATCAGTGTGTAGTGTCTCTACTTTAAAGAGTCCTCTCCTGCTGATGTTCAGGTGTATATCAGTGTGTAGTGTCTCTACTTTAAAGAGTCCTCTCCTGATGATGTTCAGGTGTATATCAGTATGTAGTGTCTCTACTTTAAAGAGTCCTCTCCTGATGATGTTCAGGTGTATATCAGTATGTAGTGTCTCTACTTTAAAGAATCCTCTCCTGCTGATGTTCAGGTGTTTATCAGTATGTAGTGTCTCTACTTTAAAGAGTCCTCTCCTGCTGATGTTCAGGTGTATATCAGTATGTAGTGTCTCTACTTTAAGAGTCCTCTCCTGCTGATGTTCAGGTGTATATCAGTATGTAGTGTCTCTACTTTAAAGAGTCCTCTCCTGCTGCTGATGTTCAGGGTGTATATCAGTATGTAGTGTCTTCTACTTTAAAGAGTCCTCTCCTGCTGATTGTTCAGGTGTATATCAGTATGTAGTGTCTCTACTTTAAAGAGTCCTCTCCTGCTGATGTTCAGGTGTATATCAGTATGTAGTGTCTCTACTTTAAAGAGTCCTCTCCTGCTGATGTTCAGGTGTATATCAGTGTGTAGTGGTCTCTACTTTAAAGAGTCCTCTCCTGCTGATGTTCAGGTGTATATCAGGTGTGTAGTGTCTCTACTTTAAAGAGTCCTCTCCTGATGATGTTCAGGTGTATATCAGTATGTAGTGTCTCTACTTTAAAGAGTCCTCTCCTGCTGATGTTCAGGTGTATATCAGTATGTAGTGTCTCTACTTTAAAGAGTCCTCTCCTGCTGATGTTCAGGTGTATATCAGTATGTAGTGTCTCTACTTTAAATAGTCCTCTCCTGCTGATGTTCAGGTGTATATCAGTATGTAGTGTCTCTACTTTAAAGAGTCCTCTCTGCTGATATTCAGGTGTATATCAGTATGTAGTGTCTCTACTTTAAAGAGTCCTCTCCTGCTGATGTTCAGGTGTATATCAGTATGTAGTGTCTCTACTTTAAAGAGTCCTCTCCTGCTGATGTTCAGGTGTATATCAGTTTGTAGTGTCTCTACTTTAAAGAGTCCTCTCCTGCTGATGTTCAGGTATATATCAGTATGTAGTGTCTCTACTTTAAAGAGTCCTCTCCTGCTGATGTTCAGGTGTATATCAGTATGTAGTGTCTCTACTTTTAAAGAGTCCTCTCCTGCTGATGTTCAGGTGTATATCAGTATGTAGTGTCTCTACTTTAAAGAGTTCTCTCCTGCTGATGTTCAGGTGTTTATCAGTATGTAGTGTCTCTACTTTAAAGAGTCCTCTCCTGCTGATGTTCAGGTGTATATCAGTATGTAGTGTCTCTACTTTAAAGAGTCCTCTCCTGCTGATGTTCAGGTGTATATCAGTATGTAGTGTCTCTACATGTCTCCGTGCTTTAATGTTCAAAAAGCTGCCTGTGCTGCAGCACCTCTTTTCACGCTCTGTCTGAAACCAGAGCCCAGTCTGCTCTGATTGGTTAGCTGGCCAGCTCTGTTGTGATTGGTCAACCGCTTAGAGTGTTTTACATGCACAAAAACCTATACAACACACTACAGGGAAGGGACATTTTTTAAAAGTCTACACTTTTTACTTTTGCCTTTTATTTGTACCGTACCTTTGCAGTTGTAACTCCGTAAATGTCCCCAGTGCAGAGCGGATATATGATTTCTGATGTGTGTGTTTTTCAGGATGCAGACATGTGGAGTGATGCCATGCGTATCTGTAAGGAATATATCCCCAACAAACTCTCCCTGCTGCAAGAAGAGTACGAGAGTGAGACCTCCAAGAAGGGAATCGGGTGAGATTAATATATAAGAAACGACTGTTTTCGCCACATAAAACGGTTATATCGATTAGTTAAAACAGCAGATGCCAAATTCCTCGTTAACTTGTTTCATTATTATGGATCAGAGTGTTGGAGTTTGTACTTGGAGTTTGTATCTATGTTATTAAGAAAGCCCTTCAAAGCCAGAGGGAAACCACCAAACCCTCTCTGAACGTTTCACAGGCTGTTCACGCTGCAGTATCATCTATTCACAAAGAGGCAGTTTGATGCTTTATTAAAACACAGCTCATGCATTATCCCAAATTGAAAGTACCAACAAGGAATAGCTCGTTAGCAGGCAGCATGCAGCTCTTCTCCCTCTTTAATGACTTGTGGGAGAAAAACATCAAACGTTGCCAAGGGAAACGGGCGAGGAAGTGAGGGTTACACTGAATCATTCCTGCAGAGTTTACAGCTCTGTGGAAGGATTCACATTTCCTACAGGCATCGGAAAACCATCATCGAGTTGTTTCACGCCTTTGTATGAGATGTAATGAAAATAAGGCATCGAAGAAGGTCAGGGCCGGTTTCTGTGAGTCATGTGATGATGGTGGGGATGATGATTTGAAGATGTGTGAAGTGATTCAGAAATAGAAAACAATGTGTTTTGTTCCACATTCATTTCAAACCAACTGGAGTGAAGATGAATGCGTTCAACCCTTTTAAAAGACTTGTGTTCAATTCAGAATGTTTTTATCATAGCTACAAACTAACCTGTTGGATACATTGAGACTTGACAATAACTGAAGTTACGTAATAGAGTGATTCATCTGAGAGATATTAGATGTCGTGGCACGCTTTGTCAAAGCCATTATTCTCATCTGTTTAACATTAAAATAATACTGCCACTTAAATGCAGTTTCATTTCGATTTTTTTAATGTTTTTTTATCATCGACTTCTATTATCTGTTTCTTTTAAAGGTCCCATGTCATGGCCATTTCTACTGATCATAATTCCATTGTTGAGGTCTACTAGAATAGATTTACATTGTTCAATGTTCCAAACTCACATTGGTTTCTCACACAGCATCTCAGTATAGTGTGTGTATTCACTCTCTGTCCTACACAATGGGTCCATTTGGGTATGGTCACGTGACGTCACCATACTCAGGAAGAAAACAATGGAAAAAGAGAGATCTCCAACGAGGCGTTCTGGGGCAGCACAGACAGGTATTTTCTGTGTTAGAGTTTTACTCGCTACAGGGTGCACTTTGAGGGTTTGTGACTCTGCAGACCGTTTACATGCAGAAAAACCTTCATAACAACAAGGGGACGGGTGATAACAGGAAAAGCATGACATGGGCCCTTTAATGTTTTGTTTTATTTTAATGTATGCACCACAACACCAAGTCAAATTCCTCGTATGTGTTAACCTGCCTGGCAATAAACCTGATTCTGATTCATCAACTAATTGAAACAAGACAAAGAGCAGCAACTGAGACGTCATCTTGATAAATAACCTTCAAAGGAACTGTATTTGTTCATGTGTTATTAAATGTGTGTGTTTTGTGTGTTTCCAGGGGTGTAGAGGGTCTGCTGGAGCAGGCGAAGGAGTGGGAGCAGTCGGGGGAACACGCCCGTGCCGTGGAGAGCTATCTGAAGGTGAAGGACGACTCCAACACCGCCTTGATGGAGAAGTGCTGGATGAAGGTAAAATATAGTATTCTTAATGGCCAGGCGGAGGATTAATTACTTTATAATTGACTAATCACTTAATAATGTCCTCATCTAAGAGAGTGGATCTTACCTGAGGTGGGCGCATTTCCACTGCAGCGGGTAGCCCCGTTTAAGCGTCCTTAACCGTCCTCAAGCGGCCAGGCCAGTTTTTGGTGGCCTTTCCATATAGCGTAGCACCGGCTAGCGGGTACTTTTCCCCTCTTTTTCCGGCCCCATAAAATCATGGTTCTATCAGGCCAGGGCCAGGGCTGAACTAGTGACGTCAACACTCTCGACTGCTGATTGGTCAGAGAAAATCGCGCAAGATCATCCCTAGCGTCGCATATATATCTAGAAGCAAGCTTGCAGCATTTTTCTACACAGCATTTTTGTAAACGGAGGAGCTACAAAAATGGCAACGTCAAAGAAAAGCACACCGTGGTCGACCGAGGAGGTGACGACGTTCCTACATCTCATTGGGGATGATAAAATCCAGCGGGAGCTCGACGGCACAACTCGAAATGTGAAGCCGATCGCCACGCCTACACTGCGTTGTTACCCCAGGTCTTAAACTGTAATGGAAATGCGCCACGGCCTCGGACGGCCAGCGAGGCAGCCCGAGGCCTGAGCGAGGACGCTTAGGGACGCTTAAACGGGGCTACCCCGCTGCAGTGGAAATGTGCCATAAGTGCATTTTGAGTGATTGTCAGATGATTTACAAAAAAGCAAGAATAAAATGGTTTTTGCTACACAAATTTGATCAACCATCTGGTTCCTAGGAAGCATCAAGAGTCAAGGGTTTTATTATCACATGCACAGTAGCTACAGTGTAGTTATGGCAATGAAAATATTAGGTCCCGAGCTCCTCCAACAGTGCAACATATTATATATAGGACATTGTTAGAGAATATTTCTTCTTTCTTCCTAAGTGTCAAAGAATAATTCTTCCTTACTCCTAAGATATTTAACATTTACTGTGTGTTGACATTTACGATCAGCCCTGCTCCGTATCCTCCGTAAGGAATGTGATAATGCAGTCGTATGTTGATACTATAAGTTTTATGGCTTGACCTAGCGGACATAGGGGGTTTTACGCTAAGCTCCACAGATGAGAGAGACATCTCCTGTGTCTCCAGATGTTAACGCCCCATCTCCCCAAATATGTTGTTTACTCTCTCTGAACTAGTTAAAGGTCTATCGAGAGATATGCTGGGGAGAATTGACATGACAACCCACCCGTGCAGTCAGAACCTTTTGCTGATGTGACTTGTGATATGAATTCTCCGGCCGTTGACTTGTAATAAACTATCATTGTTTGACATCAGAGCTCCAGCTCTCCTCGTGTCTCTCTGAGTCCTGACTCCATCAAAGCTCCAGCTCTCCTCGTGTCTCTCTGAGTCCTGACTCCATCAAAGCTCCAACTCTCCTCGTGTCTCTCTGAGTCCTGACTCCATCAAAGCTCCAGCTCTCCTCGTGTCTCTCTGAGTCCTGACTCCATCAGAGCTCCAGCTCTCCTCGTGTCTCTCTGAGTCCTGACTCCATCAAGCTCCAGCTCTCCTCGTGTCTCTCTGAGTCCTGACTCCATCAGAGCTCCAGCTCTCCTCGTGTCTCTCTGAGTCCTGACTCCATCAAAGCTCCAACTCTCCTCGTGTCTCTCTGAGTCCTGACTCCATCAGAGCTCCAGCTCTCCTCGTGTCTCTGAGTCCTGACTCCATCAAAGCTCCAAGCTCTCCTCGTGTCTCTCTGAGTCCTGACTCCATCAAAGCTCCAGCTCTCCTCGTGTCTCTCTGAGTCCTGACTCCATCAGAGCTCCAGCTCTCCTCGTGTCTCTCTGAGTCCTGACTTCCATCAAAGCTCCAGCTCTCCTCGTGTCTCTCTGAGTCTGACTCCATCAAAGCTCCAGCTCTCCATCGTGTCTCTCTGAGTCCTGACTCCATCAAAGCTCCAACTCTCCTCGTGTCTCTCTGAGTCCTGACTCCATCAAAGGCTCCAACTCTCCTCGTGTCTCTCTGAGTCCTGACTCCATCAAAGCTCCAACTCTCCTCGTGTCTCTCTGAGTCCTGACTCCATCAAAGCTCCAACTCTCCTCGTGTCTCTCTGAGTCCTGACTCCATCAAAGCTCCAGCTCTCCTCGTGTCTCTCTGAGTCCTGACTCCATCAAAGCTCCAGCTCTCCTCGTGTCTCTCTGAGTCCTGACTCCATCAAAGCTCCAGCTCTCCTCGTGTCTCTCTGAGTCCTGTCTCCATCAAAGCTCCAGCCTCTCCTCGTGTCTCCTGAGTCCGTGACTCCATCAAAGCTCCAGCTCCTCCTCGTGTTCTCTCTGAGTCCTGACTCCATCAGAGCTCCAGCTCCTCCTCCGTGTCCTCTCTGAAGTCCTGACTCCATCAGAGCTCCAGCCTCCTCCTCGTGCTCTTCTCGGAGTCCTGACTCCATCAAGAGCTCCAGTTCTCCTCGTGTCTCTCTGAGTCCTGACTCCATTCAGAGCTCCAGCTCTCCCTGTGCTCGCTGAGTCCCTGACTCCATACAAGAGCTTCCAGCTCTCCTCGTGTCCTCTCTGAGTCCTGACTCCATCAAAGCTCCCAGCTCTCCTCGTGTCTCTTCTCTGAGGTCCTGACTACCCAATCAAAGCTCCAAACTCTCCTCGTGTCTCTATGAGTCCTGACTTCCATCAGCTCCAAACTCTTGCCTCGTGTCTCTTTCCCTGAAGTCATGGACCTACCCATCAAAGCTCCAACTCTCCTCGTGTCTCTCTGAGTCCTGACTCCATCAAGAGCTCCAACTCTCCTCGTGTCTCTCTGAGTCCGGACTCCATCAAGCTCCAGCTCTCCTCGTGTCTCTCTGAGTCCTGACTCCATCAAAGCTCCAGCTCTCCTCGTGTCTCTCGGAGTCCTGACTCCATCAAAGCTCCAGCTCTCCTCGTGTCTCTCTGAGTCCTGACTCCTCAAAGCTCCAACTCTCCTCGTGTCTCTCTGAGTCCTGACTCATCAAAGCTCCAACTCTTCCTTCGTTTCTCTCTGAGTCCTGACTCCATCAAAGCTCCAACTCTCCTCGTGTCTCCTCTGAGTCCTGACTCCATCAGAGCTCCAGCTCTCCTCGTGTCTCTCTGAGTCCTGACTCCAATCAAAGCTCCAGCTCTCCTCGTGTCTCTCTGAGTCCTGACTCCATCAAAGCTCCAGCTCTCCTCGTGTCCTTGAAGTCCTGACTCATCAAAGCTCCAGCTCTCCTCGTGTCTCTCTGAGTCCCTGACTCCATCAAGCTCCAGCTCTCCTCGTCTCTCTCTCTGAGTCCTGACTCCATCAAAGCTCCAGCTCTCCTCGTGTCTCTCTGAGTCCTGACTCCATCAAAGCTCCAACTCTCCTCGTGTCTCTCTGAGTCCTGACTCCATCAAAGCTCCAGCTCTCCTCGTGTCTCTCTGAGTCCTGACTCCATCAAAGCTCCAGCTCTCCTCGTGTCTCTCTGAGTCCTGACTCCATCAAACCTCCAGCTCTCCTCGTGTCTCTCTGAGTCCTGACTCCATCAAAGCTCCAACTCTCCTCATGTCTCTCTGAGTCCTGACTCCATCAGAGCTCCAGCTCTCCTCGTGTCTCTCTGAGTCCTGACTCCATCAAAGCTCCAGCTCTCCTCGTGTCTCTCTGAGTCCTGACTCCATCAAAGCTCCAGCTCTCCTCGTGTCTCTCTGAGTCCTGACTCCATCAAAGCTCCAGCTCTCCTTGTGTCTCTCTGAGTCCTGACTCCATCAAAGCTCCAGCTCTCCTCGTGTCTCTCTGAGTCCTGACTCCATCAAAGCTCCAGCTCTCCTTGTGTCTCTCTGAGTCCTGACTCCATCAAAGCTCCAACTCTCCTCATGTCTCTCTGAGTCCTGACTCCATCAGAGCTCCAGCTCTCCTTGTGTCTCTCTGAGTCCTGACTCCATCAAAGCTCCAACTCTCCTCGTGTCTCTCTGAGTCCTGACTCCATCAAAGCTCCAGCTCTCCTTGTGTCTCTCTGAGTCCTGACTCCATCAAAGCTCCAGCTCTCCTTGTGTCTCTCTGAGTCCTGACTCCATCAAAGCTCCAACTCTCCTCATGTCTCTCTGAGTCCTGACTCCATCAGAGCTCCAGCTCTCCTTGTGTCTCTCTGAGTCCTGACTCCATCAAAGCTCCAACTCTCCTCGTGTCTCTCTGAGTCCTGACTCCATCAAAGCTCCAGCTCTCCTTGTGTCTCTCTGAGTCCTGACTCCATCAAAGCTCCAGCTCTCCTCGTGTCTCTCTGAGTCCTGACTCCATCAAAGCTCCAGCTCTCCTTGTGTCTCTCTGAGTCCTGACTCCATCAAAGCTCCAACTCTCCTCGTGTCTCTCTGAGTCCTGACTCCATCAAAGCTCCAGCTCTCCTCGTGTCTCTCTGAGTCCTGACTCCATCAAAGCTCCAGCTCTCCTCGTGTCTCTCTGAGTCCTGACTCCATCAAAGCTCCAACTCTCCTCGTGTCTCTCTGAGTCCTGACTCCATCAGAGCTCCAGCTCTCCTCGTGTCTCTCTGAGTCCTGACTCCATCAAAGCTCCAGCTCTCCTCGTGTCTCTCTGAGTCCTGACTCCATCAAAGCTCCAGCTCTCCTCGTGTCTCTCTGAGTCCTGACTCCATCAGAGCTCCAGCTCTCCTCGTGTCTCTCTGAGTCCTGACTCCATCAGAGCTCCAGCTCTCCTCGTGTCTCTCTGAGTCCTGACTCCATCAAAGCTCCAGCTCTCCTCGTGTCTCTCTGAGTCCTGACTCCATCAGAGCTCCAGCTCTCCTCGTGTCTCTCTGAGTCCTGACTCCATCAAAGCTCCAGCTCTCCTCGTCTCTCTCTCTGAGTCCTGACTCCATCAAAGCTCCAGCTCTCCTCGTGTCTCTCTGAGTCCTGACTCCATCAAAGCTCCAACTCTCCTCGTGTCTCTCTGAGTCCTGACTCCATCAGAGCTCCAGCTCTCCTCGTGTCTCTCTGAGTCCTGACTCCATCAAAGCTCCAGCTCTCCTCGTGT